ATGGGATAAAAATTGCTACTAGTCTCATGGCCACATGTTAATCTGCTCACATGGGGGGGATGCATTACCATGTTTTGTCCTGCAAATACTGTCTTTTCAATTATCTGCTACATCCTGTTGTCTGCCATTAACCTACTGGATTCAATAAAAGATCTTCTTGGATGAAAAAAAGGTATTTTTCACTGTATCTGCTTATACAGGCCAGGCATAGAGGTCTCAGCAAGGGAAAAGTCACTAATACAACAGTTGGAGTCAGAATACTAACTCTGACTTAAAAGATACTGTATACTTATGATTTCTACAAAATATAAAATAGCAATAAAGGCCTAAGTCCCTTTACAAGTGGAAAGAATCTGTGTAAATTATTAGTTTAGTACTAAGATAATCCTGAATGGTTATTTAGAGAGTCTGGAATGTGTATAGTGGCATCAAGGGTTAATAGGGGGTGTGTATTTTACTTGCATTTATTTATTTTTAAATGTGTAATAGTTTTCATTTTTCTTGTCAGCCTAATAACGTCAGGATATAGCTATCTTCTCTATGAAACTCTGCAAAAAACAATCCCTTATACTAGTGATCTATTGCTCTTCGTTTCTGCTGCCACTACCTGTATTGACCCCCATTTTCCTGACCCTGATTTTCTGTAATCAGTTTCCAGACTGATATATCTCAGTCTCAATATCTCAAGTCTCTATATTGAGACTGAGATATATCAGTCTGGGCTATATACATTTACCACCTGGCTTCCCACCCCTGCATTCTTTTTTTTCATCAAGACCTGATCGTACTTCAAGTGGATTAAGTCCTCTTGATCTTCCATATGGTAATATTTAGTTTTTTTACCTCTATTTATTTTTATTCAGGTATATGCTTTTTGTCATTGATGTTTCACATTTATACACCTCTTTAGAGACATCTATTAATGTGGATACACTTTCATCTGGGGTGGTTACCCAGGAAGGCCATATATCCATCCTTCAATGATGGTCAAGCTTTTGAGAAGGTAATGATTTAAATATACACTAGGTTTGTGTTTGCTGGGCTGATCCATTCGCCCAGTATATTTACCCTACTATAGTTCCACCTACTATGATCTCTCTTTTTGGTTTTTCCATTTTAGGAAGTCATTCTACTCATTGTGATTATTACCATAATGGTTTCTGAAGAATGATCTCCCTATGCTGAGTTTCTATGGAAAATATGGAAAATTCTTTGATCTAGTGGTTAGGAACTCCATTGCCTTATGTGGATCCTCAAACTGCCGCACAACTACTGTATTTGGAGATGCCAAATGTTTTTAAGTGATTTTATTATTACTTGTTTACCATATCCATGTCTAACCTCTATATGATCCATGTGATCGAATAAAGTTTTTTGAACAACAATACTACTCCGCTTGGATTTTGAAGTAACCACTTTTGTTTAAGCAGTACTGCATCTGTCATACTGCCCTTTTTTTAGGTATATATTGGGTTTATAAATCCACACTTAGTATGAGTGAGACGGAGATATTAATATGACATATTTATAGGTGTCATATCAGGTGGCTCTTTTTCGTTTGGTTGTTTAATCAGTGGGGGATAAAACCTGGGAGTGAATGTGTCCAGACATCCTTCCTCAGTCCTTGGGGGACACTGTAGAGGGCAAACTTTCTCCCCCCAACTTTGTACAGTCCTAATCTGGTTGCTGTGGATAGATAGCAACTATAGGTGTAAGATTAGTAGCCTGGCAGTTTGTGCTTTATAATATCGATACAAATTTGTCATTTGCATTGCATTTAATACAAAAGGCATCTAATGTTTAGTTACAATACCCTGTGCAGCTCCATGGACAGATTAAAGTGAAGTGAAATGGATATACAGTATGAGAAGCAGCAAATACAGGTGAATGACTATACATGCACGGATGAATACTTGGTTTGCTTAGTTATTTGAGAGTAAATCATTATCTATTATATTCTGTATCTCTTCAGTTCTATTAAACGTTGATGTCAATAAATTGAGCAGGGTTAATCCATTAGCAGAAGTATGAACAAGTAAACACAGACAAATATCATTTTTTTACAGGAAGAAATAGAATTGATTATTTTGAAATTGGTGTATTATATTATGTCTACAGTGTTGTTTACAGGGTGCAAAACAAGGTAGTCTCAATTAGGTGACTAGTATTAATTCAGAGGCGAGATTATAGATGCAATGCTGAAAGTTCTAAATATTGATTGAAGGTTGGTATACCTGAATAACAATAGATATGTACTGTAAATATCTAGAGATATTTAGATTTACATGCCGTGGGATATATAGATTTACATGCTATAATTTCTTAGGACTTCTAGAATTCTTTCAGCTTGTGATATGTCCTGATGGCTGTTAGGACTCCCCTACTTTTTATTTCCCACTGGGCTTACTTATAGGGATTATATGGGAACTGGATGCCTCAGGCAATTCATGGCCTAGGCTTGACTGTTCAACTCACCTGCTGGTGATATAGGATATAAAGGAGGATCATCTATTATTGTGTAGTTGCTACGTACCTGACAGAAGACTGAAATAATGATGGGGGCCATTCATGTATCCCTAGCAAAAGCACCCCTGAAGGTGGTACAGAAGGTGCAAACTGCCAAGGGACAGGAGGAAAACAAGTCTTGGAAGATGTTGCTTGTAAAACCTTAGATTGGAGATGCCAACCAGGAAGATCCAGAAGAACATGCAGCAGAAGCATTAGCTGAGTGATCAGCAGAGCCACAAGTAAAACCAGCATTAGTAAAGGGAAAATCTGGTTATGTTGCAGGTTCAGGATGGCAGAGTCCACCAGTGATCCCAGCAGGAGTACACATAGGCTACAGCTAATTCCTGGAGTAGTCCAGGGCAGATCCTAGGCGCTAGAATGGAAAGAATCAGGGGCAATAGCTAAATTGCAGAGCAAGCCAAGGCCAGCAATGAGTAAGCAGCACAGTACCAAATCACAGGCCAAATGAAGGTTGTGGATTAAGTTGAGGTCAGAAACTAGTAAACAGCAGTATACAAAATCAGGTCAGAAGCAGGGGCGGACTGACCATTCGAACACTCGGGCACTGCCCGAGGGCCCAGGGTCAGTGGGGGGCCCCATGAGATGCCCCTGGTACGTTTCATTGGCTTTTTCATAGGCTTTTTTGGGTGCGGGCAAGGACACGGGGGCCCCATGATACCCTATTGCCCGGGGGCCCCATGAGTTGTCAGTCCGCCCCTGGTCAGGATGGAGCCTGGTCAGTAACAGAAAGCATATGTGCAGGGCAGGGCACAGGTCAGAACATAAAGAACAAGCTGAAGACTAGTCAACACTGACACTGAGTTAAAGCATCCCTTAAATAGATTGTCTGGTGGCAGTGATCAGGGCATGCACACATATCTGCACACACACTGGGAATCACTCGTATGATTGCCCACACCCCTGCAGACAGGTGCACCTAACCGTGACTCTATGTGGAGATTTACTAAAACTGGTGCACACAGAATCTGGGGCAGCTGTGCATAGTAATCAGCTTCTAACATCGGCTTGTTCAATTATGCTTTGGCAATCAAACTTAGAAACTGATTGGTTACTATGCACAGCTGCACCAGATTTTGTGTGCACCATTTTTTTCAGTAAATATATGTGTAGAGCCACAAATACTAAATATGTGCATGTGTAGCTTCCCAAGCCAGCTGACTAACAAATTCCCTGACAGCAATCATTTTACGAGATGCATGTACAATGTAGTTGCAACTGTGGTTCTTGCCTTTCTTCCAACAAGGTACAGATTTCTAAGATAAAAGCATGAGATATGTGACTATTAAGTAGTTAACCAACTCACTATTTTTGCTGTGGTCCTAGTAACCAGAGTATAAAGAAAACAAACACTAAGGTTTAAGTTGGCCTCATGGGGTACAGTGGTTACCAATAAGGAGCCATGTGATTTTACTTAACGCATGTTTTAGAAAAAAATATTTAATTTTGACCAAAACCGATATGAATTAAAAAACAACCTTTACCCATTGGCAAAAATGCGCACTCACCGACCGCGCATAGGAAATGCGCATGTGTGTATTAAATTCCACAGGTATCGATCTCCCTCAGGAAGGGATGTCATCAAACGATAGTCTGCTGGTGTCCGGGCTCCAGGGTGTGACCAGAGGTATGTGACTGACGCAGGGAAGAGAGCAGGCTTCAGATAAGTTATAAACAATATAATTTATTAAAAGACTAACAATACAAACATAAACGCAGTGCAATACTAAAACATAACACAGTGCAAACGAACCAAACCAAGCCACCCACAGATAACAGTACATACAATTGAAGCGTCGTCAGGCAGGCCGGGTCAATAACAATCGGGCAGGTAGGTACAGGGGGTCAGGCAGAGAATGGTCGGGGTCACAAGCCAGGATAAAACAGGAGAAGTCAGCAGAGGTCCGGATCAGGCAGGGTCAGCAACGAATCAGACAGAGACAGGGACAGGAACAGGGACAGGGACAGGGATGCAGGAACAAGATACAGGGCCCAGGAAAAAAACACACACCAAGGCAGAGACTGCAGGTCTGGCCATCCCTTAAATACACCTGTATAATCAACTTCAGGTGTTTGGCTGGCTGCAGGGTTGAGTCTCTGATTGCCGGGAGCACCCGCTGGCCAGCCCTGGTACTGCAGCCCACAAGGCAGGTGAGTCCCACCATTACTGGCAAGTCCATTCCTGGGCAGCGGCACATCGGGCAGGACTCCGGGCAGCGGCACATCGGGCAGGACTCCGGGCAGCGGCACATCGGGCAGGACTCCGGGCAGCGGCACATCGGGCAGGACTCCCGGGCAGCGGCACATCGGGCAGGACTCCGGGCAGAGGCACATCGAGCTGGACACCGGATCACCAGGCAGAGCAGCGGGCACAGGGCCACCAGGCGGAGCAGCGGGCACCGGGCCACCAAACGGAGCAGCGGGCACGGGCCACCAGGCGGAGCAGCGGGCATCGGGCCCCCAGGAGGGGCGACAGGCATCGGGCCCCCAGGAGGGGCGGTGGGCGCGGGCCCCCAGGCGGAGCGACAGGCATCGGGCCCCCAGGCGGGGCGGCAGGCGCCGGGCCCCCAGGCGGAGCGGCGGGCGCCGGGCCCCCAGGCGGGGTGGGGCGGCGGGCGCCAGGCCCCCAGGTGGAGCGACAGGCACCGGGCCCCAGGAGGGGTGGCGTGCACCGGGCCCCCAGGAAGAGCGACAGGTGCCGGGCCCCCAGGAGGAGCGGTGGGCACCGGGTCATCAGGCACGACAACGGGCATCGGGTCACTAGGCATCAGGTCATTTGTCTCGACAGCGGGCACCGCGTCATCTGGCAAGGCATTGGGCACCGAGTCACCAGGCACGACAGTGGGCTCCGAGTCAACTGGCATGACCGCGGGCACTGGGTCAGACATTGGATCGTCTGGCCCGACAGCGGGCATCGGGTCACCAGGCATCAGGTCATTTGGCTCGACAGCAGGCACCGTGTCATCTGGCAAGGCAGTGGGCACCGAGTCACCAGGCACAACAGTGGGCTCTGAGTCAATTGGCACGACAGCGGGCACCGGGTCATCTGGCACTGGATCGTCTGGCTCGACAGCGGGCATCGGGTCACCAGGCATGACAGCGGGCAGCGAGTAAACTGGCGGAACAGCGGGCATCGAGTCAACTGCCGCAACAGCGGGCACCGAGTCGTCTGGCAAGACTGCGGGCACCGAGTCGTCTGGCAAGACTGCGGGCAGCGAGTCAACTGGCGGAACAGCGGGCAGCGAGTCAACTGGCGGAACAGCGGGCACCGAGTCGCCTGGCAAGACTGCGGGCACCGAGTCGTCTGGCAAGACTGCGGGCACCGAGTCAACTGGCGGAACAGCGGGCATCGAGTCAACTGGCGGAACAGCGGGCACCGAGTCGTCTGGCAAGACTGCGGGCACCGAGTCATCTGGCAAGACTGCGGGCACCGAGTCGTCTGGCAAGACTGCGGGCACCGAGTCAACTGGCGGAACAGTGGGCATCGAGTCAACTGGCGGAACAGCGGGCATCGAGTCAACTGGCGGAACAGCGGGCATGGAGTCGTCTGGCAAGACTGCGGACACCGAGTCGTCTGGCAAGACTGCGGGCACCGAGTCGTCTGGCATAATAGGATCATCAGGCTGGCTCAGTTCATCATGCTGGGTAGAGACATCAGGCTGAATGGAGGCATCAGGCTGAATGGAGGCATCAGGCTGGGTAGAGGCATCAGGCTGGGTAGAGGCATCAGGCTGGGTAGAGGCATCAGGCTGAATGGAGGCATCAGGCTGGGTAGAGGCATCAGGCTGAATTGTGGGCGCCGAGGCACCAGGCTGCACCATGGAAGGCAGGTTCTCAGATGGGAGGCTGACCGGTTTGGATACTGGCAGGATGGTATTGGTTGGAAAGAACTTTCACCTTTTCCTGGTTTTAGTTACTGGAGTACTGTTAACGTAAGCGCAGGTTTGTAAATGGATGAAGCAGCTGGAGACAGAGAAGAGCTGGAGGATGGAACAGGGGAGGGAACAGTTGCTACAGAGGGCTTCTTTACAGGGTTAAAGGCAGGATAGGTGCAGCGAGTGGGAACAGGGTACTGACATGCGGTAGATAGCAGGGTATACTGGGCTGTAACTGGAGGTGCTGTTGGGAATGCAGGAATAGAGCTTTGAAGAAATAGGTTAGAAGCAGGACTGGGTTTTTGCAAGCTGACTGAGGCTGGGTGTAACAAATCTGACCATGTCTGTAATACAGGTTGAACGAAGCTCAACTTACACATAGCCTGTCTGACCAAAGACTGCACTGCGTTTATGCAATCCATAAGCACATGTGATGGACAAGCTGCATAATACTCATGGAAGCAATCTGGATCCTCCTCCAACAACCATACCAGTGATTCCACTTGATCTGCACTAAATGGTGGAAAAAAGTCCATCCCTGCTTTCAGGGGTACAGGACAGAGCCAACTCAGCACAAACCTGGATCAATGGTTGTACCTCAGAAAACTCCATGCCCCGATCCACTAGTGAATGAGCAACCTGCATGCACTCTAGCAGCTGATCCCTGGCATACTTCTTCAGAATCTGATAGCTGTATACTCTGTCTTCCAGGACTAGCAAAGACAAGTACTCAACCTCCTTAGGATGCATCCTCCACAAACAACAAGCCAAGATGGGTTTCCCTGTGTGGCCACTTCTGGTCAGGAATGGCCTTGGTGTAATGTCAGGGCTCCTGGGTGTGACCAGAGGTATGTGGACTGACTCAGGAAAGCGCAGGCTTTAGATAAGTTATAAACAATATAATTTTATTAAAGACTAACAATACAAAAACATAAACGCAGTGCAATACTAAAACATAACACAGTGCAAACGAACCAAACCAAACCACCCACACAGATACAGTACATATAATGCAAGCGTCGTCAGGCAGGCCGGGTCAATAACAATCGGGCAGGTAGGTACAGGGGGTCAGGCAGAGAATGGTCGGGGTCACAAACCAGGGATAAAACAGGAGAAGTCAGCAGAGGTCCGGATCAGGCAGGGGTCAGCAACGAATCAGACAGGGACAGGGACAGGGATGCAGGAACAAGATACAGGGCCCAGGAAAAAAACACACACCAAGGCAGAAGAGACTGCAGGTCTGGCCATCCCTTAAATACACCTGTATAATCAACTTCAGGTGTTTGGCTGGGCTGCAGGGTTGAGTCTCTGATTGCCGGGAGCACCCGCTGGCCAGCCCTGGTACTGCAGCCCACAAGGCAGGTGAGTCCCACCATTACTGGCAAGTCCATTCCTGACAGCTGGGCTCACAGGACCTCCTTAGGATCAGGATGGATCAACCGGATAAAGAATCCCTCCAGGTGAAGGCTTCCTGCTCTGGATGTAGTATAAATTGGAAGCTGTGTCTGCTGACCCCTCAATGAGGGGCAAAAAGTGGAAGAGTACCCATAGTGTAGTATGTCAAAAAACTTTATTGGTAAACAAACTTAGTGCAGGGTAGATCTGTATAGGTGCTGGCAAATGCCAAGAAATATAATGCAGGAAAAAAAGGGTTAAAAAAGTTACTGACCCTGAATAGTAGAATGGACCGCCAGACCTCCTCATGGTCTGGGCGGGCAATAAGGCGTCACAGGCTGTCAGTTCCTCCTGAGGCCTTTCGTGCTAAGACACATCATCAGAGGGGACACTGACAGCTCTGTGACAGACGCCAAATGTTTAAATAATGAAAAACGGGATGCGCACTAACTCGCCGCCATTTTCGAAGAGACCAGGCAACTGCACATGCGCGCGCGGCTAGGCACCATTTTTTGCCGTGGATATAGAAAACTGTCAGCTGGAGTGTATTACACATCGCTGGCAGAGCACACAGAAAGGTGCATTTGAGCCAGAAGCAGTGGCTCATTAATCCCAGGGGAAATAATCAGTATAATAACTATGGTTTTCATTAAAGAAGACAGCCATAAGCCACTTCCCAAATAGTGCAGCACCAAATTGGTGATTAAATGAGGGGAATAAAGCTAATATACCCACGGCATAAAAAGGTGCTCTGGGTGCTCAAGTCTGTAAACTAATTAAAATATAGCATAAAATACACGATAATATTTACAATTAATTTAAAAGAGCGGGGACAATTTCTAATGTACAATAATCGCCACCATTAAAGGAAAGGACCGGTTAAACTGCATTTTGAGACACCACTTTTTGCCAAGGAAATTAAAGCAATAGCTGAAATATATTTAAAACAGCGATCTTAAGCGCATCAAATCGCTTATATGCCACTAAATAGTGGTACTTAGTCCCAGGGAGATAATCATAGATAGCGAGTCCCCCTACTCAATGATTATTCACCAACTGGTGAGTTCTCGGGGAAAATACTAATTTGTCCATGGCATATAAAGGTGCTCAGGGTACAGCAGTAAATAGTAACCATAATTAAAAAGTTCAATTACATGAATAAAAGGGGGAAATATATTCCTATGTGAAAACACCAATAATAATATACTACTAAAAACTATTCATAAATTAGTGAATAGGATAGCATAAAATGAATAGTATAGCTATAAAAATTTTAGTGAACTAGATAAAAAACCCATATTAGTCAATCCTAAATATACAATCGATAAAAACCACAAACATGACTAAAAAATATATTAATGGGTGTACAGGATGCTAATTATTTGCTATAAAGCAATTAACATTGATTTCGATATTGTGTCCCCTAGGGTACAGGGTATCCAATTCGTAGACCCATTTAGTTTCTGATTGCGATACGGCTCTGATTTTATTCATGCCTCTCCAGTGTGGTGATATCACATCTATTCCCACAAACTTAAGGGATCATTATTATGGAACATTCTATTAATGATTTGAAAGTGAATGTTTGCCTATACATCTTGCCCAAGATACACAAGGACCCAGTCCATCCACCAGGCCGTCCCTCAGCTCCAAGACAGGGGAATATATAGATTGTTATCTACAACCGTTGGTGGTACAAACCCCATCTTACCTTCGCGATACGAAACAGGTGTTAAATATAATTAGCACTTTAAACATATCATCTAACACTTACTTGGTTACCACTGACGTAGCCTCTCTCTATACTAACATTAACCATGCTGATGGTATGGAGGGTGTAGAGTTCTATCTCACTAACTATAGCACTTTACCTGTGGCACAAAAACACTTTATACTGGAGTTACTTGAATTTGCAATGGACCACAATTACTTTTGGTTTAACCAGTCATATTACTTGCAAACTAAGGGAGTCGCAATGGGGGCCAAGTTTGCCCCCAGCCTAGCGAACCTCTTCATGTCTCGGTGGGAAGAGGACCTCATTTACGCTAGAGACTGGCCGGAATTAGTTATGTATAAGAGGTACATTGATGATATTATTCTCCTCTGGAATGGGGAAAAAGAATCTTTGGTTAACTTTTTTACTAGCCTCAATTACAATAAGCTCAATATCAGTCTTACGTTTACGTACAGTCAATCCGAAATCAATTTTTTAGATCTTACACTGATTAATTTTAATGGTAAAATTGTCACAAAATCCTTTTTTAAAAGTACAGATAGGAATAGCTATATTCCAACCAGTAGCTGTCACCACCCTAACTGGTTGAGTAATATTTAGAAAGGTCAGTTCATGCGCATCTGACGCAACTGTACAGATATGGATACTTACTTTGATCAGGCTATGATATTAAAGAAAAGGTTCCTAGAAAAGGGTTACAAGGAGGACATTCTGGACAACACTATACAGATGATTGCTCAAAGTGACAGAAATAACATGCTATCTGCTAAACCGAGACCAACAGAATCAAGGATCTGCCCCTTTGTCACAACCTTTTCCACGCAGTTTTCAGACAGATTGGGGGAATCATAAAGAAAAAATTGGAACTTATTGAAACTGGATCCCACACTGTCTAAAATCTTGCCTGAAAAACCGGAGATCATTTTCCGGAAAGCGACAGCAA